TAAAACCGTTATTTCGACTAGGCACGTTTTGGCCGTATCAAATGATATATACCCTCTGTAGCCATATGGCTGAGGGTATAAAAAAAACATATTTTTTGCACAGAAAGAGAAAGGCTAATCCGAATTTGCTCCGACTTTGCGAATCCTAATATTTGCGTCAGTGCTAGGACAAGTGTGAAAATTGACAATATCGGTCCACTCCATCAAGTACCTCCCCCACAAATGGTCAAAATTTTGAATAATTACAATCTCATTAAATGAGATGAAAAAGTCCGATTGTCTTCAAATTTCACACATCCTAATATTTGTATTAGCCCATGGTCTGGTGTGAAGGGGGAATACATCGGTCCACTCCTTCTGGTACCTCCCCCACAAAATATTGAAATTTTGAGTACCCATGAAGCTCATAAATCGCCAAATTAACATCCGATTCCATTTAGACTTGGCACATCTGTCGAAATATTTATATCATATTTTGGGTCCGATAGGAAATGGGCAATATTGGCCCATTCCTTCGGGATCTGCTCCATAGAGGGTCAAACGTTTGAATAATCTTAACACTAGTCAAAATATATTTAGATAATCGAACATAGGCTGAGGGTATATCTCTGGCGGCAATACCGACTGATACTTTTTAACTTGTTTTAAATCTAAATATCTAAATATTTTTTATATAGTCCTGATCTACACCCATTTAATTCTAATACAGTCCACTAAAATATACGCATTTAAGCCGCCCGGGAGAATGTACAAAATACTTTGTACATACTTTTGAGTGCAGTTGAGGCGCTGGAAAAAACTAGAAATAAACAATCAATATTTAAAAATTACATATTTCCCAGCCGCCATAAAATACCACATGTGAACAATTCGGTGATCTTGTGCGCTGACGCATACGATAATGTGTCAGATAATAAAGGTTATGACCCACACGCACAGATGTCGATGCGCTCAGTAGATGCACAAGACCACTAGAATGAAATGATAAGCAGCCCTGCAATGTTCTCCATTCAATATTAGAATAGATAAGAACAATTGTGTGGCTGCGACTAGGTTAAGTTATATTAGTTTCAGTAGTACGTAAGAAAAATATTTTCATAATAGAATCAGAATTGAAAGCAACCAAACTAATCGGTCATGTTTCTTTTCTCATTCACATGCTTTTTTCGAACGAAATGAGATAGAAGGTTAAAATTTTGCACACATGTGTTTTTTGGTGTTTGGAAGGTTATGTTTTTAAATGGGCTATGCAGGTCCACGTTTTCATATAGCCCCCATACAGCGGTAACTCCTATTAGTCGGTATTTTGATAATTTTAATATTTCTTCAATATTTTTTAGCGGAATTATTTTAAATTTAGTACTTAAAGTTCGTAATAGATACTACAGCCTATGACAAAAAATCGTATGCAGGTCTCCCGATATTCGGTATATTTCATCAAATTTCGTAGCTGAAGATCGTAATCCCCCCATATAACCGTACCTCCCAATATTCGGCCTCTTGATTATTTTAGTTTTTGTATTAAAAGTTCGTAATGGTTACTACAACCTATAACAAAAAATCGCGTAGACAGGTTCTCGTCTTCGTATAGGCCCCAATAAACGATACCTAACTATATTCGGTATTTTGATGATTTTAGAGGTATTATTTTTTGTTGTTGCAAAATTGTCAGGCTTAATCCCTTTATTGTTGTTTTTGTAAAAACAACGTTTGTGATCCTTTTTCAATTTTTTATGTTCCAAATTGTAGAGTGTATTAAAAGTTTGCCTCGGCCGAACTTATGCCCTTTTTTACTTGTTTGGTTTAGGTCCGTTTTTATATGCAAAACATTAAGATTCCATCGCCTACACTCCTGCTTTTTACTTGCAAAATTGGTCTTCGACATATTTTCTATTGGCTATACGACCGTCTGTCTGATTTTCATTTTCAAAGATATATTCCATATTGTTCATCTGACATGTTTCGAAGGCCATATCTTAAAACAGATGCTACGCATCTATAATTATACAAATATAGAATGTTTGGAACTATATTTAATACTTAAACCGGCACTTTTGTTCGACGACCATTTCAGTTACTTTCCCTCTCCTGCGGAGTTAGTAGTAGTCGATATTTCGCATCGCCTACGCCTCCTCACTACTTTTTCGCTACAAATTTGGAAAAACATAGTTTAATGACCGCATAGGAGTCGCGAAGCATCTTATTCTGACCCGAAGTTCGTTCCTATTTACATTTTCAGTTCCACAATTAAATTCAAAATCTATCTTCGACGGTCCCTGAACTTCCTAGAGTAGATATCAGTGATTTCGCTTTTTTTCGGGAATCTTTGAGTATTGTATTCATGATACATTGGACGATCATGCTCTATGAGCTCGAATAAAAAATGAAAAAAAAAACTTTTTTATTTTGTCTTTTATTTCCATGATACGATCAGTTCCTCCTATATCCAAATCTGAACCGATACACTTATTTCAGCTGAATCTGATATCTGGTACCAAAAATCATTGTTGTGGAATGCATATTAGGCTTTTGACGGACTTCAAACCCCAAATCGGATAGAACTTATATGTGGGAGCTATAGCTATATCTGAACCGATTTACACCAAATTTAATTTACTTACTTCTAGGCTGAATTCGGTGGGATGTACCAAAATAAAGGTGATTTGGACTTATATTAGCCATCTGGTGCTCAACTAACCCGAAATCGGTTGAACATATATGGGAGCTAAATCTAAATCTGATCCGATTATCAACAATTTCAATAGGGTTCGTCCTTAGCCAAACAAATATTGTTTGCAAAACTTCATCTCAATCGTATAATAAATGCGACCTGCATTTTGTTCAACTCAAAAAGTGATTCTATGAAGATCCTCAAAAGTAACTATTGGTCTATCTCGCTTCCTTCTCCATGTTACAAACAAATGCACAAAGACATAATACCCTTACCACTATGTGGTATCTTGGTCCGATTTGCCTTGTATTGTGCACCAAACCAATTAGCCCAAATTGAATGGAATTTGGCACAATTTGAGCCTAGAAACAAGTATATCAAATTTGGTCAAAGTAGGTTCAGATATAGCCATAGTTCCAATATATATTGTTCATCCGAACTGTTATATTTTTTTATTTTTTATATGAAGCTCTACCAAATATGCAAAGGGGTATAGGGTATCATAAAGTCGGCCGCCCGACATTTAGACTTTATCTCCTGTTTTTTGTTAGATTTTTAAAATTTTCGGTAGAATTTTGAAACTTTTAAATTTGGTTATAATCTGTTGGATTTTGTGGTTCCTTCGCATATTGTAAGAAATAAAATTCATTCCAACCCCTGTATCTGGCTACATTTAGTTGTTTTCTAGTTTCTTATAGTAGTAAAAACAAAAAATTCGTCCAAAGTGGCACTCACCCCTATCGAGGTGTTTATTAGAGTTTCTGATGCAGTCATCCAGTTTAGTGTTAATTTTGACACGTGAAGAAAATTAGACGAAAACTAGTGCGCGGACCAATACAACGTCAATACGGGGGAAAGAAATAAAGTTAAACCCAAATAAAACACGATTAGTTTGCTGGTTTAAAATATTTGTAAGGATTCTGAAAAATGTCCTTTTTATACCCTCCACCGTACTACGGAGGGTACATTAAGTTTGTCATTCCGTTTATAACACCTCGAAATATACATTTTAGACCCCACAAAGTATATATATTCTTGATCAGCATAAAATTCTATGTCGATTTATCGATGTCCGTCCGTCTATCCGTCTGTGGAAATCACCCTATCTTCCGAACGAATTGAAGTAGATTGATAAAATTTTACTCAAATGTATGTTATGTCTGCACGACTTTTGGTATTGAAAATGGGCCATGTTTTGTTATAGCCCCTATATAACGGTACCTGCCGATATTCGGTATTTTGATGATTTTAGCGACATTATTCACCAGAATTATTTCAGATTTGGTATTTGAAGTTCTCAATGAATACTACAACCTAAGACAGAAAATTGTCTGTGCAGGTCCACAGATTTTTTATGGGATTTTATTGTTCTTGAGAATTGCCAAAATCGTTCCAAACGGTAGAGGGTGTTCAGAGTCTGGCCCTGCCGAACTTACAGCGTTTTTACTTGTTCATTTTATTATTATTTTTGTAATTACCTTTTATTTCCATTAGTTGAACCAACACAACTTTGACTTGTGTGGTATCACTGATCAAACTTCGTCCTCATACCATTTTTAATTTGAAAAACGAATGAAAACATTCATATGACACGTCACAGTTTTTATATGTTAAAATTAAAATATAGAATAATAAATAATTTGCTCCTCTTTGAGTGTATTTAAACCGTAAAAAAATTAAATTTTGTACCAAAGCATATTTATATAAAGAATATACATGAGTTATACCAAATAACAAATTAACAAAATAAGTATTATTGACATAGAGAACACACTAGCAATGTAAACATTTTAAGAATAGACTTCAAACCTTTTCTTGAAGACAATACATATTATGAGAATTTCCAATATTTAACGAGGGAGTACAAATTATCGATTTGAGTTTTTTCTTCACTTTTACTTCTTTCTTCACTTTTACAGTGACTTTATGATTTAACAAAATATTTAAAAATAAGAATAATTAAAATTATTAAATTCGTGGCAGATTCTTTTAAATTATGAAAAATAGTTTTACAAGAAAAAAATTAAAGCAGTTGATTACCATTTAACTTTTATGTTTTATCGACATTCAAGGAGCGGTTTGAACAATGTTCAGAAAATTCTGTGTTGGAAATAAGTTGTTATTCTATTTGAAAATGAATCCATATAGTTTACAATAAACATAAAAAGTCGACTTTGTTGTATGTTTATATAAAAAGAAGAGAATATTTGAAAATTTAACATTTTTTTATTTGTTTGCTTTTTCTTATTTTCAAGGTCTATTCATTTAATATGAAAGACGAATATTTGCTTTGAATCACAATAACAATAAGAGGTTTTTATTTTTGCAGATATTGCCACAACAACAATTAACACTGATAAAAATAACGAATTAGTAAATGGAGCGGTGGCAAAAACCACAGTCCCTACGTATATGTCAATACTTCAGGGAAAGCCACTTTTGGGCAGGAACAAAAAAATTGTTCTGTATATTTTATCGGACAATAGCCCAGAATACCGAAAATACATGCGAATAATTTACAGATTGCAAAAACAACTAAGAAAAAAATGTCACCTTAAAGGATTTGAATTTTTAATATCGGATGTGCACAACACAGATGCGGTGGACAAATCTAAATCATCAATTCTTATGCAAACGAGTCGATGGACACAGAGTCCCTTGGAGGCTCAAGGAGGTCACGAGGAAGCAGCGAATTGTCTATCAGAAATAACAAGACACTCATCTACAGCTTTCATAATTCCAGTTCTATTCCTGGGTTCTTCATTAGGAGTATCGATGCTACCTCTGACAATAGAGAGTCAAGATTTTACACAAGTGTTGACTGCGGCTAGTGACGATGAGAAGACGCTTTTAGAAAAATGGTATATCATTGATAACTGTTATCAGCCAATGTGCCATCGATTAAACACAGAACTCTGTAAGCATTCAACAGGGACAATTGAAGCAGAACTTAACAACCTGTATGAAACTCTATTACAATTGTTTTCTGATGATCTTAAGGATTCATATATGTCAACCACGGTGGTGGAGCAAGAAATCAACAACACAGTTTTAATGAGCCAAGAACTTGCCAAACGTTGCATTTGGATACAGACTGGTCCTCCGCCATTTTCGAATACATCGGAGACCTCTTCGGCCTATGACAAGGAAGTTCATAGAAGAATAAATAAGTTGTATGGAGAACTAAGGGCGCACTTGTCGGAGAAAAATTTAATACGCATTCTCCCAGCAATGGGTATTCAGGATGATGAATTGGAGTCTATCATTGAGAGTTTAGTGGAGAAATCCATTGAATGTATATTCGAAGAATATGCGGCTAAGAATAATTTATCAAGAAACACATTTGGTGTAGATCACGTTCTTTTGGAAGAAATCGAAACTATAGGCCAATATTCGAAAATACTTGCTCAAAACTCGCCGAATTTCGATATTATGAATGATATTAAACGGTAAGTGGTAATAAGAACATCTATTGGAAAAAAGAACTACGTGCAGCCATAAACAAGTAACAGCAAGTTACTAAACCATAAATCCATTTTATTGTTTCAGACTAAAATCTTATAAAAATTAATTTTTATACCCTACACCACAAGGTGGTCAGGCTATTATGTCTTTGTGCATTTGTTTGTAACAGGCAAAAGGAAACGAGATAGACCCATAGTTCCTTTTGATGATCTGCATAAAATCACATTCTGAGTCGATTTATGCATGTCCGTCCGTCCGTCTGCCCATGTATTTTTGTAAACAAAGTACACGTCGAATTTATTGCCCGATCCAGATGAAATTTTGTTCAAATCATTTGGTTGGCCCAAGGACGAACCCTATTGAAATTAGTGATAATTGGTCAAAATTTAGATATAGCCCCCATGTATATCTTCGTCCGATTTGCCTTTTATTGTGCACCAAACGTGTTATATCAGCCCGAATTGTATGGAATTTTGCATATCACCCACCCATCCTAAAAATAAGTATGCCCAATTTGATCGAAATCGGTTCAGATATAGCTATAGCTCCCATATATATTGTTCGTCCGATATGTTATTTTTGCCCTCCGCATTATTTTTTTTATTTTTGCACTCTGCAACAACAATATTTGGGGAAATATATCAAATACAGCTCAGAAATACATTTGCCAAATTTTGTCGATATCGGTTCGAATTGAGTCTAGAAGCTAGTATGTCAAATTTGGTGAAGATCGGTTCAGATATAGCTATAGCTCCCATATATATTGTTCATCCGATTTGTTATATTTGTTACCCACGACCGTAATATGCACTTTTAATTGTTATGTAGAGCTCTACTAAATTACAAAGACATAGAAGTGTAAAGATAGGACAAGACAGAGTAAAAATATGGCAACCCTATGAAAATACCTCTGTTGTTACGATATCATAACAACATACTTACCAATGTTAATTGATCTAAACCGCTAAGGCAATTGCAAATTTTTGGAAAGGTCTATGGAATAAAATTTTGAAACCACATTTTTTGATTTTTCAAACTTTTATTTGTCTTTGGTTTCTGTAATTGAGGTTTTTATATAAACATACCTCTGACATGAGCTGTTACTCTATGTATTGTAGACACAAACCATTTGCTCAAAATGCATTTTGTCTAGTCTTTACCATTTTAGGTCTTTGTAAATTAGTGGTGTAGGGTATCATAAAGTCGGCCCGCCCGACTTTAAGACTTTCTTTACTGGTTTTTGTGGTCGTTGTACTAATACTAATTGTCATAACATACGAACAATTCGGTAAAAATCAATATAAACATTGTAGTAAATTGACGTCAAGTAAATAAATTCATTAACTCTCCCCAACTTCAGTATATAGAGAAGATACTAAAATAAATAAAAGTCAATTACAAAGAATTCATTTTTGAGGGAGTTAGAAATCGACTGAGAATATATGTTCACGTTGACAATACCTTCAAGCATAATAATAAACTTGGAAATCGTAATTGGAAATCATCTCATACAAATCACAATTTCTTTGACTCAGCATTACATATTCACAAACAGCTGATATACATTTGCCGTTCTAGGTCTGTTTCGATAAATTCCGAATTTAGCCAAGGCACAAACCATATATTTTACACGGAAATTAAAAGAGCAGTGTTAGGTCCGTTATGATTGTAAATTGGGATCAATTAAAAAGACCAAACGTCTTTTCCGTTTGAGCGTTTGTAAGACACTGAATTTATTTATTAAAAACATTTCTTAAGAACTAGTTGTGATAATATGACTTAACCTAAATTATAATTAAGTGTAAATGAGAGAGAGAGAGAGAGAGAGAGATAGATACCAACCGTACACATGCATATGCACCATGCCACCATAAACCTTAGGGGGAGGTCATACACACGCATAGCTATCTCACATGTGGCAAGCAAACAAGCTGCACTTGCTTATCATTCTGAGTAAAGATTACATCCCATAATCTAACTCCACCATAACACATGCAGCAATTGAAAATTCTGTATTATTTATTTCTAACTCGAAGGTCTGCTCACCACATTTTCTTATCTTATTTCATGTGGACTGTATTAAGAAGATCCCAATTTAACAAATCCCTCTCATCTACACTAGGTAGCCCCGCTATTCTCTTTTATTATAAAAACATGTTCACTTATCCGTGAACATTCTTGGCAGGGGCAAAAATACATATAAAATATAAAAATTACAAATAGGAACAATAAAATAGATCTAATAGAAGTGACATTTTAAGAGAAAAGAAGTTAAGTTATAGCACCCAAGTAACTCCTCCATCTTTCCAGCCTGTCTCTCTTAAAGGTTCCGCCTCCCTTGTCTGCCGGCTTCAATTTCCAGGCTGAATCCATTTTATGTGTTGTTTTCTTTCTGTGACCAAAGTTCTCATCCTTCTCTGGCAGCGCCATCTTACCGATTTTGGACAGTTTATCGTTCCAGTGTTCATGATTTTGTGTCACTCCGGCTTGTATTTTATTCGCTGCACCACTTCCACTAGACATCTTCATCACAACTTGACCGTCTTCTAGCATCTTATTATTCCAGCGACGCAGATTGCTTTTCTTCTTAGTTTTCATCTCGCTGGCAAACAGCTTATCTTCGACTTCTTCCAATCTCCCTGTGTCGAATTTTCCAGGGAGCTGTTCATCTACATTTTTCAATGTTGATTCTTTTTCGGCAATTGAGTCTTCCATATACACCTCTTTAACCATCATATCTTCGTTGATATTGACCACTAGTTTTGCAGCCAATTCATCAGTCTCGATTTTGGATGCTCTCTGCGATATGAGCAATTCTTCTTTTTCTTCACCAGCTTCTAGATTTGCAGCCAACCCGTCGCGTTCGGTTGCAGCTGCAAGTTGTTCTCTTTTTGCACAAGACAACTCATCCCTAAGTTGTCTTATTACCACCTTCAACGCTTTGCCCTCGCGTTCTGCCTCCTGGTTAGCCGCTCGTAATTTGTACACAGTATCCTCGGCTACGAACACAGCATTTTCGACTTCCTCCTTCAATTTGGAGACAAGTTTGAGGGCATCTTCCTTTTCATCTTTCTGTGAAATCAAGGCAAACTCCATTTCCTTAATTTCACCTTCCATTTTTCTCATTGCGGCTACCGATGCTTCGCGCCCCTCTCGCTCGACGTCCAATTTGGATGTTATGCAGGCCACTTGTTTCTTCAATTGCCTGGATACCTTGGTCACAATCGTTCTGCATTCGTCGATTGAATCCGCACCCGTCATCAAATCGTCCATATAAAAATCTTCTCGTATAATCTTTTTTATATGTGTGTCAACTTCTGGATCGTCTCCTATTCTAAACAGACTCCTCACTGCTAAGAATGGCGCTGCTGTTGTTCCATAAGTGACTGTTGTCAATTTATATTGCTGAATCGGCTGCTTTTCATCCTCTCTCCACAATATATACTGATACTCCTGATCAGCTGGATGCACTTTTATTTGACGGTACATCTTCTCTACGTCCGCTGTTATCACGTAACGCCACATACGCCATTGTAGCATGATGTCAAATATGTCCCTTTGCAACTTAGGTCCCGTGTACATAATGTCATTCAAGCTCTTGCCATTTGTTGATTTTGCCGATGCATCGAAGACTACTCGTACTTTCGTAGTTATACTTCCTTCTCTTACCACTGAATGATGCGGTAAGTAGTACTTCCCTTCAACTGCTGCTGACACCTTTTCCATATGGCCCAACTCTTCGTACTCCTTCATAAATTTTTTGTAGCTTTCATCAAGATTTGGATTACGACGTAGCTTCTTTTCTATTGACAATAATCTTGCAATTGCCAGACCTTTCGAATCACCAAGGGATTTGTCATCTTTCAGTGGTAATGACACCACTATTCTTCCTTCATCTTCCACCACCGTCGTTTCATTGTACGTTTGCATGCACCAGTCATCTTCGATCGTCATACTTGATGGTGTGTCCACCTCCTCCAACTCCCAGAACCTTTCCAAGTTTGTCACTGCCGAATGAAATCTTCTGGATTTATCTTTGAGCTGAACTTTACCAGACAAGATCCATCCCAGTTTTGTTTTTTGCGCAAAAGGTCCTTTATCTTTCACTTGACCTTCTTCCATTATTTCAGAATAAAGGTCGCCGCCAATGATCAAATCTACTCTGTCGCATTTATTAAATAAAGGATCTGCTAGCGTATAGTTGTTCCATTCTTCCATACTGGTTTCGAATGATTCTTCTGGCTGTGCACTCATCACTGTTGGCAGAACTAACGCTTCTGTGCTGAAGACATCATTACTCAGAAATCGAGGTTTCATATCCAACTTAACTTTGTATTTTGAGACCCCAACGGGTGTACTGCCAAGGCCATGAATCACGGTGTTATTTCTGATCCTCGGGAGTCCCAAAATTTGAGCGGCTTCCTCTGACACCGACGTCACTTGAGATCCTTGGTCGATAATAGCTCTCATTATCACATATTCTCCGCTTATTGCCCGCACTTTCACTTGTGCTGTTGCTAGCAATACAGTTGAATGATTCTCCTGTGTCACCATCGTTGCTTTTGAACCGCTGGAATCTTTTTTCGTCTCTGCCTTTTTTATGCCTTTTTGTTCGTTCACGTGTAGTAGTGTATGATGTCGTCCATTACACGTTTCACACCGCCTGTAGCTGAGACACTTTTTATCAGTTTTGTGATTCAGACAGAAGTAGCACATTTGAATCTCTTTAGCTTTGTTTTTTCTTTCGATTGGTGTCATTGCTAAATACTTTCTGCAGTCAAACATTTTGTGTCCCACTCCATTGCAGACATGACAAGACTCCTGCATTTGATTGACTCTTTTTTCGAATTTAAATTCTTTCTTTGCCACCAACGAGTCCCCTGCTGCTTCTAACGCTAAAAATTGTTGCTCCAAAAACTGGATCACATCTTCGAGTTTCTGGATTTCTCTTGGCTTCTTTATCTGTTGTTCGTATAATCGCAAA